TCATGTTGCTGCTGATCTGTTTCATGTTGCTGCTGATCTGTTTCAATGTTGATGTGTTCATGCGTGCACATCTGCTCACAGACTCATGTTCATGTTTGTGGTGATGTTCAATGTTTTATGTTATGAGTGCTTAGTGTATATTTAGTTGATGTTTTTCTTAGTTCATATCTTAGATGTTATTACTGTTTTTCTTATACATTTTATTGTTGGATGTAACTGGGACCCTGTGTACATAATTTCGCTCCACCACATGTACCACATGAGGTGCGAATGACAATAAAGAAACTCTGACTCTGACTCTGAATCTGAAAAAGTCTTCAGATTTGTGTTTAAAGTCAGTTAAAGAGTCCGAGCCACCTCAGAACCTGTTCTGGACCTGGGAGGTCCACCTCAGTCCTGATGGATGAGAAACAGAACCTTTCAGCAGAACACGTCTTCTGTCTTTGGACCTTCCGAGGTTCTGAATGAACATCAGCTTCTAACCAGGAGTTGGTCAGAACCGGTCCATGAACTCACCTGACAGATGTCAGGATGGAGGCGGTACCACTTCAAATGGGTTTGTTATAAATGATAAATATCTTACCTGCTGTGGATGGCTCTCTGGACACCTCAGTTTGAAGATTTCACTTTATTTCTGACAGCACTGATGAGCTAAAGGCTAGTCTGAACGCAGCTCACCTCCGTTAGCTTCACATCATGTTGTTTACAAGCTGAACTAGCAGCAGCAGCTAGCTGTAGCACGCCCAGGTCACACTCCGGAGGAACCCGTTACCGTACGACAGGACGTTAACTACAGGTCAAATCTTTGATAGCCCGCATGAACCTCCGGCTTCTGGAGTTTTCAGAAGCGGTCCCCGTTGGTTCTCTTCAGACCAGCCATTAGCTCATCGGTACAACAGCTAAACTCTTTCATAACAAAACCATTTCAAAATGGCCGAACATTTCCTTTAAAACTGAAGCTTTCCTGAATTTAAAACATTTTAAAAGCTTCCAGTCTCTGCACGGTGGTTCTGATCTGCTTAACTGAGATAATGAATTAATCGTTCTGATCAATCAGCCGAACTTCGGCTGCTTCACGAGGGTGAGATGTTGCTGCTGGAGGTGAGAAACGGAGAAGTTCAAGCGTGACGATCAACAAGCGGCGCTCCAGATTTAGACGTGTCGCCGCGCTGCATAATCCCTCCATCTGTTCACCCCCAGGTTCTGACTCTCCCTCTGCTCCGCCTCAGTTCCCGTCCCGTCGAAGCTCAACGGCTCCTCCATGTCGGCGCTGGCCTTCGCTAAGGACGGTCTGGGTGTCGGCGCCGTGTCCAACCCTGCTGAGGTCTTCTGCTCGGTTCCGGGTCGCCTGTCGTTGCTCAGCTCCACCTCCAAGTACAAGGTGACGGTGGGGGAGGTGCAGCGCCGCCTGTCGCCCCCCGAGTGCCTCAACGCTTCTCTTCTGGGAGGAGTCCTGCGCAGGTGAGGAGGAGGGGCGGGGCTTAGCTTGGGTTTTAGCTCATATGTAACTTAAAACAGATCAGTCAAACTGAGAGCAACGATTACATGATGAATTTAACAAGAGAAAAAGAAGATGAGCTTAAAAAATCAACAAGATTACATTTTAAATCAAATTTAAAATCCAACATCCAGTTCTGGACTCGGGTCTCATGAGTCAGCAGGTCCAGAAACCTCTTCCAGCTTTTCTGGGAGGACTTCAACATGTTCCCAGACCAGCTTTAGTTCCTGCAGAACTGAACTACTCGCCCCATGTCTAAGGAAGTGTCCAGCTACCCTGCAGAGAAAACTCTTTTAGACCTCCTGGATCCAGTTCTTTCAGTCTCTACCCAGAGCTCAGGACCATAGGTGAGGGTAGAACCGTAACTGGACCGGTACACGGAGGAGCTTCTCCTCACAGCTCAGCTCCCTCTTCACCACAACAGACCGGCACAGAGTCCACAATACTGCAGAAGCTGCACCGATCCATCAGTTGATCTCACGCTCCTTCCTTCCTTGGTAGCACCGGCAGAGTCCAACTCCCATCCCCCATTCTGTACCTTGAGGAACACTGGATGGGCAAACTCCCATGACCCCTCCAGGACCCTAGTGAGGATAAAGAGCTGGTCCAGTGTTCCACGGTCAGAACGGAACCTGCATTGTTCCTCCTGGATCTGAGGTTTGACCAACAATTGGACTCACTTCTCCAGTACCCCAGAACAGATTACCAGGGGGGATAAGGAGAGTGATGTCCCTGTAACTGGAGCACACCCTCCGCGCCCCGTTTCTGAAGAGGAGAACCACCACCACCAGTCTCCAGTCCAGTGGCCCTGCCCCCGATGTCCACGCGACGTTGCAAAGTCGTGTCAACCAAGACAGCCCCACAACATCCAGAGCCTTTATTTCTACAGGTAATCCCACGGAGCCTCGAGGACTCGTTTACAGACAGACCTGATTTAACAACGAATGAAGGCAGCAATAAACAGTTATAAAAAGTCATGCTGCAGTTTTGTTTTTAATAACAAATAGGACGGCTAAAAGAAAAAGTAACAAAAAAACACACACACACACACACACGCACACACACACACACAGAGCGTGCTCAGTGTCTCCTTGTCCTCCCTCAGGGCCAAGTCAAAGAATGGTGGCCGCTGTCTCAGAGAGCGTCTGGAGAAGATTGGCCTCAATCTGCCCGCCGGGCGACGCAAGGCTGCTAACGTCACTCTGCTGACATCCCTGGTGGAGGGTAAGCGTGCACGCTCACACGCACACAACGTGACCTGCCTGCATCCTGACAGAAACACATATTTTTGCTTCAGCTACGATGAACACACATCAGCAGCCTGGATGCTATGTCCACACGCACCACACAGTTAGAGATAAAATGTTTGACTCCTCCCCCTCCTGCAGGTGAGGCCGTCCACCTGGCACGAGACTTTGGTTACGTTTGTGAGACAGAATTTCCATCCAGAGCGACAGCAGAGTATCTGTGCCGGCAGAGCGATCCAGAGCAGCTGCCGACCCGACGCAGCATGCTGCTGGCCACCAAGTGAGTCCGACCTCCATCAACTAACCAGTTAACCTGCTGGATGAAGGATGGATGATTTTTTTATCCAACCTTTATTTCTACAGGTTAGTCTCATTGAGCCTCAAGGACTCATTTTATGAGAGACCTGTTGATAAACGCTGATAAAACCACAGAGATGTGGTTTTCAAACAGGAAGTTGGTTCCAGCAGTCCTTCCTTCTATTTTATCTCTGAGTTGTGTTCCTACTGAGTTTGTTGATTCTTATAAATACTTTGCTATCTTTGTTGATTTGCATTTCTCTTTTAAGCTCCATGTCAAAAACTTGTAAAGAAACTGGAAGTATAAGAAGGCAGCAGACAAGGAGGGATTTAAAGATGAAGATGAACCAGTGTGAGAGCCTACGTGTAGATAATGATGAGCAACTGACCAGTGAATACTGGGTGCAGTGGTGGGTACGGTAGTTACAACCAGTTATGAATCTTAGTGCACCATGATAGACAGCATCCAACATCTGCAGCATCCAACATCTGCAGCATCCAACATCTGCAAACAGCTGGCAGGAACATTCATGTAAATAATGTCACCGTAATCAATGGTCGGTAGGAAGGTAGAGGTTACAATGTGTTTTCTGGCATTCAGAGTTGGACAGAATCTATTTCTGTAAAAGAAACAATTTTAATTTCAGTTTCTTTATCAGGTTTTCAACATGTGGTTTAAAAGAGAGATGTGCATCGACCAAAGTTTCCAAGTATTTGTAAGAATCTACAAACTCAATATGAACACCATGCATGGATGAGAGGAGGAAGAGTTGCTGGCACAGACTTTGTTAGAAAACAACATCCTTTGGTTTTGTCAGCATTTAGCACCAGTTTGAGGTGGAACAAGTCTGACTGGATGATGTCAGATGCAGACTGTAGAAGCTGGAAAACCTTGGCAACTGTGTTAACTCAGCAATAAACAACAGTGTCATCAGCATAGAGATGCACGGATGGGTCAGGAATATTTAGACCTACATTATTTATATAAATTGTAAAGAGAGTGGGACCTAAAACTGAGCCATGTGGCACACCATTGGTGACTGTTACATAGCTAGATGAAGACCGTAGAGATAGTTTGAGAACCAGCCAACAATGTGATCTGAGAAGTCAATATCTCAGAGCTTGTGTCAGAAGATGTGATGATCTACAGGATCAAAGGTTTGGACCGGTCTAAGTAAAGAGCAGCTCCTTAGTGTCCAAAGCTTCAACAACATCATCAAAAACCTTTAGCAAAGTGATCGTTGTGCTGTGTTGTTTCCTGAAACCAGACTGGAGAGAAGATTAAATATTAAGAGTCCATCTACGGATGGATGGATGGATGAGAGATGATGACTGATGGATGGATGGATGATGAATGGATGACTGATGGATGGATGGATGAATGAAGGATGATGGATGGTTGAAAGATGATGACTGATGGATGGATGGATGGATGGATGGATGATGAATGGATGACTGATGGATGGATGGATGAAGGATGATGGATGGATGAAAGATGATGACTAATGGATGGATGGATGAAGGATGATGGATGAAAGATGATGACTGATGGGTGGATGGATGATGAATGGATGACTGAAGGATGGATGGATGAAAGATGATGGATGGATGAAAGATGATGACTGATGGATGGACACTAACATGTCTCTCTCCACCTTGTCTGTCCGTCCTCTCGTGTCCTGGCCCTTGGTCCTCTCAGGGAGATCTGTAAGGAGTTTCTGGACCTGATGTCTCGAGACCGGACCCCTCTGGGGGGCAGTCGCCCCCCGCCCTGCCTGGAGCCCAGCATCCAGGGGAGCCTGACCCACTTCAGCCTCCTCACCCACGGCTTTGGCACGCCAGCCATCTGCGCGGCGCTCTCCGCCTTCCAGAGCTACCTGCTGGAGGCCGTGAAGGTGCTGGACAAAGGCGAGGGTGGGGGGAAGGCCCACCACGACAAGGAGATGAAGCACCGGAAATAAAACTCCGCCCTCTCCAGGAAATCAGAGACTTGACCTCCCACAAGCCCCGCCTCTCCAGAGGGAGGCGGGGCTTACGATGATATTCATGCCGTGAGGAACGCCTGAGACAACACATGGACCTTTGTCCTCCTTCTGTGACGCATGCGAGGACGAGATGTTTATTTATTTATTGTTTTTGTTTACTCACACAAACACGTCCAGGAAGCGTCTGAAGCCATATCGACACCTGCTCCGAGTCTGGCACCAGCTCTCGGGGACTGGAGCCGTGCTCTGTTTGTAGTTCTGGCTGCAGCAGGTGCTCATGGGAAATGGAGTTCTGTCAGGGAGGAGATGCCGGCGGCAGCTACAAGATTTATTTTAATTTATTGTAACTTAAGAAAAGAGCAGGAACCATTTTGTACTCTTCTGTGTCTGTTATTAATAATGTTGTTACTGTTATTATTGTAATAAATGTAATATATGATTAAAGAGGGGGTTAAAAGTTTTAATTATTTATCTCTTCAGTGATCCAGATGTTTTGAAGGTCTTCCAGAGTTTTCCTCAGTTTTGCTTCCTGAACATTTTCAGAGGAATGATTTGAACTTTGACCTCTGACCTCGCCCTGGTTGAAGCAGAGGTGTTGAAACAGTCCAAGTTCTAATGGGACCTGATGGTTGGGTCACCACCAGTTCCTGTTTCTTTACTTCACTGGTCTGAGGTTCACAGAAAGAAATGTTAAACTAAGTTTCTATATTTCTGCATCAACACGACCGAAAACATCTTCAGATTTTACACAAGTCCTAAAAGTAGATGAAGAGAACCAGTTCAACAAGACTAAATATTAAACTGGTCATTTATTGATTGAGGACAGTGATCAATATTCAATAACTGTGAGAGGTTAAAGTGTGCCAGCTGTTTACGTCTTTAGCTTCACGTTCTTCTGCTCTAATGAACAACATGTAAGATACACCAGAATGCAGCAAATGATCTACTTCATTCAAAATTCTGTGGGGGAGGACCTCCAGACCCAACCCCCCACCACACCTCCATATTTGCATTCCAGCATCGTTTGGTTTACAAATGAAGGGCGGGTCAAAGGAAGTGTCTGAAAGGAGAAGGACGTTCTGAAGGTCCCATGAGCACAGAGGCCTCCATCAGCAGGACTCTTCTGAGGGTTTAGTCCGCTTTAATCCAACTCTAGTCCGTTTGTCTAGAAAGTCCGGCTCGTTTGGGGACGCGTGAACGTGCAGTCGAACTCTCATGTGGACCAAAAAAGTGAAACCTGGTCCATCTAAAAACCCAGGTCTCTGTTCGGTTGAAGTGAACTCTGGCGCAGTGTGGTTGCAAGCGGACCGGAGACCGCTCCAAAAGCAGGAAGTGGACTACAACGCAGGGCATTCTGGGTAAATACAACCAAAACCAACGTGCATTTCTCATCCACCTCATGTGAAAAACAACATTGTCCATGATCTTCTGCTCATGAGTCCATTGATGAAACATGACGGAACAGAAAAACTGAAACCGCTGAAATCTGATGCCACTCCATTTTCATTTTTATTTCAAGAAGAAGAAGCATCTTCTTCAGAGGTTTCATATTGTTTCTTTCAGTAGTTCTTGGTGCAGCGCCCCCACAGCCGAGGTGGTGGTGGTGGGGGGGGGGGGGCAGGTTGATTGACTGCAGTGTGAATGAAAAAAAAATGTTCTGAACATCAGTCCTGATGGAACCGGGTCTACTGGACTAACACCTTAGATCTTCCTCAGCACTTTGGTACCAGCTGCTGCTCTTCATGTGCTTTATAAATAAATCTGACTCTTTCTGGGTCGGACGTCTAAACTGAGCGATCAGAGGAGAAGAGCCTTAGACCAGGAACCCCATGGTCACTCTGTCAGAGCTCCAGTGTTCCTCAGTGGAGACAGGAGAACCTTCCAGAAGGACAACGTCTCTGCAGCAATCCACCAATCAGGCCTGTATGGTTGAGTGGCCAGAAGAAGAGAAAGCTCATGGCAGCAAGTCTGGAGTTCACCTAAAGGTTCCTGAAGGACCCGAGACCAGGAGGAACTTCTCTGATCTGAAGAGACAAAGATTGAACTCTTTGGTTTGAACGCCAGGTGTCAAGTTTGGAGGAAACCAGCTCATCACCAGACCAACACCATCCCTACAGTGAAGCATGGTGGTGGCAGCATCATGCTGTGGGGTGTTCTTCAGCAGGAACTGGCAGACCAGTCAGGATAGAGAGGAAGATGAATGCAGCGACGTAGAGACATCCTGGATGAAAACCTGCTCCAGAGAGCTCTGAACTTCAGACTGGGGGGCGATGGGTCATTTTCAGGACAATGACCCAAAGCACATGGCCAAGATGTGAAAGGAGGGGCTTCAGGACCACGATGTGAAGGTCCTGGAGCCAGAGTCCAGACTTGGATCTGATTGAACATCTCTGGAGAAATCTGAAATGCTGCACAGATGTCTCCATCCAGCCTGATGGAGCACGAGAAGTTCCGCTCAGAAGAACGGGACAAAGTGTCTGAAGACAGGAGAGCTTCAAAAAGTTGGATCCAGCAAGCAAAGCTGTGAGCACGTACGTGAGATTATTAGGTCTACTTTTATTTAGTTTGCAAAAATCTTTTTTCACCGCGTGTAAAGATTTCAGAGGAAAGAGATGAATTGAACACCGTCTGGATTAAAGAGATGAATTTAACACCGTCTGGATTAAAGAGATGAATTTAACACCGTCTGGATTAAAGAGATGAATTTAACACGTCTGGATTAAAGAGATGAATTTAACACCGTCTGGGTTAAAGAGATGAATTTAACACGTCTGGGTTAAAGAGATTAATTTAACACCGTCTGGATTAAAAAAATGAATTTAACACGTCTGGATTAAAGAGATGAATTTAACACAGTCTGGATTAAAAAGATGAATTGAACACCGTCTGGATTAAAGAGATGAATTTAACACCGTCTGGATTAAAAAAATGAATTTAACACGTCTGGATTAAAGAGATGAATTTAACACCGTCTGGATTAAAGAGATGAATTTAACACGTCTGGGTTAAAGAGATGAATTTAACACCGTCTGGATTAAAAAAATGAATTTAACACGTCTGGATTAAAGAGATGAATTTAACACCGTCTGGATTAAAAAGATGAATTGAACACCGTCTGGATTAAAAAGATGAATTGAACACCATCTGGATTAAAGGCTGTAACAGAACAAAAAGAGAAGTGCTCTGGATACTTTACAGATGAACTGTGAGTGTGTGTGTGAGATGGGGCAGAGGCAGGGCAGCCGACTTGGGACCAAAACGTTGTGGTTTGACTCCCGGCCACGCCCACGTTACGGTGTGTCTGAGCAGGACACCCAATCCCTCGCTGCCCCACCGGGTGTGTCTCAGGTGTGGTGGTTAGATGCAGAGATGATGAGCAGGTGCGGGAACACAGTGATGATGTCATAGCAGGTGTGTGGCTCTGGCAGCTTCTCAGAAGAATCAGCTGATGGTGGAAACTACTGGAAACTGTAGAAAAGCCGAACCCTTCAATAAAATGCTGTAAATCTGTAAAAATTAAACATCTGTGTTGGATTATGAACCGATCAGGGACCAGTTAGGTCTCTGCTGGTGTCCCAGTCCAGGCTGTCGTCTATCGTTTTGTGACTCCTGCTTTAATTGAATCCACTTCATTGATGATCAATATTTAACTCCAACAAGGTGAAGCATGGTGGACCTCTCTGGTCCTGGTTCAGGTCTCTGGTGGATCTGTTCTTCCTGAAATGTCTCAGTCCAGATTAACCTTAGTCAGCTCCTCCGTACTGAAGGACTGTTTCTTCACAGGCGGTCCACATGAAGGTCAAAGGTCATCCGACGGCAGGAAGTACGTTTTAAACACTTCCTGTCCTGAAACACGTCATCTTCTCCGAGCAGAAGTTACTGAAGTTCATCAGAATAAAATCCTGGTTCACGTTCAGGGAGTTGCACCTGCAGCTCAGAGTGCTTCTGGTGGGTCGGGCCCAGCAGAACAGAACCAGGACCCGGTGGAGCTGTACACAAGGTCCAACATGACAGCAGCACCAGACTGAAGCACTGCTTTCCAGGGAACACACACACACACACACACACACACACACACACACATACACTCACACACACACACACACACACACACACACACACACTCACACACACATACACTCACACACACACATACACACACACACACACACACACATACACTCACACACCCCCCTCCCTACCTGCAGCCCCCCCTCACTCTGTGACACTCGGCGGGCTCTCCACCTCTCGCTGCCTGCAGGCGAACATATGCTGCTCATCCCGTCAGGTTCTGGTGTTTAATGTTTATTAATCATCTGCAGCGCCGATGAGACAAGGCCACACACACACACACAGACACACACACACACACACACACTCACACAGACACACACACACACACA